ACGCGTATCGCTGTCCCCCACGGCAGGGATCCTGTGAAGACGTGCAGATCCCCTGCCACAGCTTGGCAGCCCTAGAATAGGCTCCTCCTCTCTGGAACAGGGTCGGTTTTCTCAGATCAATCTAGGAAGGGGAGGGGCCTGTCCCCTGGGAACATCCCAGTTGTCTCCAAGCCGTGCATCCCTTAACATCACATTAAGGAAAAGAAAAACACTTCTCCCCACCATAGTGAAACTCGATTTTTGTGGCAACCAACCTTGTAACCTTATGCCCCTCCAGCGGGTGTAGACCAAGTTTGAAACCCTCTGTCGCTCTCTCACCCAATTAACTCACAATGTTTTGTTTTAGCATCTCAGAGAAACTTCATAAATGTTCATCCAAAATAACCTCTGGAAGCTGCCCCCCAAAACTGGGTGAGTAGGACTGCCCCACTCCCGGACCACTGAGAAAGGAAGCATCACGGTAAGTGAATACAAATCTTCCATTCTCCGGTGGTCCTGGGAGTGGGGCAGTCCTTACTCTTGGGACATAAAACAGCAGTGTGCCCCAGGGTGGGAAATCCATCTTCTGGTTATAGAGTGTGCTGCAGCACACCTCAAAGAAAGGCCACCACAGCCAAGGTCAGCTTCTCTACTCTATAGCACTCTACTCTAAAGAGTGCACAGACTTCCAGTTGGCCACCGTACCTACCGTCTCCAAGGATGGGAAATGATCTGCAAGCTGCTGACATAGCAGCCCCCCACAGAGAATATGCTGCAACACCTTTGGGTGGATTCAGCCCCTCAGCCTTGCATACAACAATGATGCCACCCCTCAAACCACCTACTCAAGGTAAAAGGCAATACCAGTTGACCTAAGGAAAAAATCGTAAAGGAAACAAATAGGGTAAACTGAATATCCTACGGACATCAAGGCAATGCCATTCCCTTTCCTTGTCATACCTATGATTGGGACAAAGGAAGGTAAGACAATGATCTCTGACTTGTGAACAAAGGCTTGATCTGAGCGTAACGTCACCCTATCATTGTGGAAAACATGAAGTTCCCTGTCAACTGACAGGGTCCTCAATTCCAACAACCACCTAGTTGATATTATGCCTGCTAAAAACAAGATCTTGAATGTTAATTCCTTGAGACTCCATGGGTTCAAAGGTTTTCTACACAATGCTCTCAGGACCCTATGTAGGTTCCAAGTCAGAAACCTCTGTACTTGTGGCGGTTCTGACCATGTAGTAACCCCTTAGGAATCTCTTAACGTGTGGATGGCAATTTAAGGGACTTCCCTTCCTAGCCCCCATCACTGCCAATATGGCTGCCACCTGTCACTTTAATGTACTCACACTTAGCCCTCTATCCAAACCATCTTGGAGAAAGCTAAGACACCTCTAACTGATGCATTTAATGTTTCCAATCATGTTCTGAACATCAAGAGTGAAGAACCCGCCAGGTTGTGTTATACACCCTATTTGTGGAGCTCTTCATAGAAAACTAATACGGTGTCTGTCAACTCTGTCAGGGCAACTCAACTCTTCTAGCTGTTTCCGCTCGACCTCCAGGCTGTTAGGTTTAGGAGGGCTGTGCGAGGATGTTGTGCTGATCCTAGTGTCAGTAAGTCCTTTCCCAGTGGTCGACAATCTCTTCAGATCCTGGAATCAAGCTCTTTGTGGTCAGAAGGGTGCTATCAACACTGGTGAAACAATTAAGTCAGTTGGAACGTGTACAGTCATCCCTACGGTCAGTTGCAGTTCAGAACATCTGTTCCTGTTGCCCGCTGGTTTTCAACTCTGGATATGAAACGCAAAATTGATGATTCTGGTCTGTAATAAAGAAGTCCATTTCCATCATCCTGTACCTTTTGCAGACCTATTGAAAACCCAACTTGCAGAGCATCCATACAGGCTGGTCTAATCATATATACTCAGCCAGTCTGTCAATGCACTATCCTGGCCTGTCATATGGACCACCTCCAAAGACTGTAGCTGGATCTTCGCCCATCTGATGAGGTCGCTCGCTTCTGCGTATAAGGTCCGGAATCTGGTTCCTTATGCCTTTGTTATCATATTGTCTGTCTGGACTAGAACATGATGACCTGTTAGTATCTTGGAGAATTCCAAGAGCCCCAGCCTGGTGGCTCTGAATTCTAAAAATGTTATACTCAGTGAGGTCTCTTCCTGAGACCAAACCCCTTGTGTCATTGTCCCTTGAGAGTGGGTTTTCCATCCTGGCAGACTTGTGTCTGTGGTCATCACCATCCTCTTCAGATCTCAGATCAGAGATCCCCATTGGAAACAAAAGGGTTCCAGCCACCACTGCAGCTGATGCTGAAGTTGTTTTGGCAACTGTACCAGCTTGTACCCCTAACTGGCCACCACATCCTGGTAAGGTAAGGGAAAATGTCTGTAAAGGTCCAGCATGGAACCTTGATCATTGAAGCACTTCATGACTTGACACCACCATGCTCAGAAGCTTGGCCAGTATTTTTTTGACTGTCTATGGTTAGAAGTTGTATGTGGTATTGTCTCTTCCAAGTGTCTATCTGCACCCCCAGGTGTACCCATGATTGAGAGGCATTTAGAGTGCCCTTCTTCATGTTGACCACAAAGGCATGGTCCCTCAAAACAAAACAAAACAAAAAAATCACCACCATCTCTGATACTTCCCCACTGCTGGTTAGAAGGGGCCTTGACAAGGATGTCATCTAGAGATGGTGACAGCAACACTCCCTGAAGTCTCAGATGTGTTACAATGGCCACCATAAACTTGTTGAACCCTCTTGGGAATGACTTCAGTCAGAAAGGCAACACTGGTACCGACCTAAGTTGACCTAATGCCTTTGTTATCATATTGTCTGTCTGGACTACCCATAGCGTAGGAACCTGCAGTGAGCCTCTTGAATTTGGATGTGTAAATGGCTCTGGGCATGATATCCTTTTGAAGTCACAACAGGACTGACAAATTTTTGTTTGTTTGGGGTTTTTTGTGTGTGTGTGTGTTTTTTTAACATAGAACACATCTTTATCTTCAATAAGATATCTGTCGAGTCCCTCTTCGAAAAGGTTTATGCCCTTGAAGGGAACTGCTTTAGCTTGTGCTGCAGAGTCCCCATCCCAATTCTGAGCCACATGTTCCTTCTGGCTGCTACACTGCATGCCATGGCTTTAGCTAACTGCTGCAGGATGTCCAGTGAAGTATCTGCCATGATCACTGTTGCTAGGGCAATCTTCTTAAGTTCATCTTTAAGTTCTTTTGGGACTCCACTATCAGCTGAGGCTAGTCCTGATGCCCAAGAAGGTGCCGCCCTGGCAAACATTGAGCCTGCTGTTGACGTCCTGATGGAGCAGGCTGAGACTTTGAAGTCTTTGCATAAGGCTTGCTCAAATCCCCTATCGCTGGAGTCTTGGGCAGCCTATCTGCATCCATAGGTAGGAATGAGTTGGGGGTCAAGCTAGTCTCAGGTTTGTCCACCACTGGCACCTTGAGTCTCTTGGTAGCCTCTGGTATCAGGGAATAAAGCTTGGGGGGAAAACATCTAATGGTTAGTTTTGGAATGGTGTTCCCACTCTGCCTTCATCCTATTATAAAAGGCTGCAGGCAGTTAGAAGCTTGCCATTGCCTGCCTCAGCCTAGCAACAAGGAAACAATTCCCTCTTAATCCTCCCTGAATACCTCAGGGGTTTGCCCCAGTCTGCCACTCTGCCCTGCTTCACCTCCAGTCTAGGTTTTTTGGCCCTGTAAAGGCTTACCATGATTCTTGCTTAACTGCTGAGATCTGACAAGCGTGGTCTGTTCCACCGCATACCGGGTCCTCTGAGACTGGGGAGTTTGCTGGGTCTGCAGCACCACCCCGGTCTCCTTGCAGACAGCCACTTCTCCTGATGTGCGCTGGTTGGGGAGGCGACCTCCAGCCACAGGCTGGGCCCAGTGGGAGTCTGCGTACACAGGCTTAGCTGCTGGGGATCTCCCAGTGCCATCCGCTTCATTTGCGGTTTGCCGCCAACTGCGGCTCGAAATAATGAAAAGGGAGGGTCTCTCCCTTCTCCCTCTCTTCTTCTCATTCCTGGATCACTGCGCTTTACAGAGCACCTGTGAAACATCCTGCTCAAGATGCAGGGCCGGTAAGACTGGGATGTTCCCAGGGGACAGGCCCCTCCCCTTCCTGGATTGATCTGAGGAAACCGACTCTGTTCCAGAGAGGAGGAGCCTATTCCCAAGAGTAAGGACTGCCCCACTCCCAGGACCACTGGATAATGTGCAAGCTTCCTCAAAACTCCTCATGCCAAACACTGGATGCTATCATATCTAAACCAAGTCTATAATTATTACAAAGCATCAGGAGAAATAAGGGTTTTTCTTATCAAATTTTGAGCTGCCAATATTATAGAGCTGAACCCTCAAGTCTAAAAAATAAAACTTAACAAATTCACTTCTGAAGTGTGCAACTATGACTACTTTGAAGTAAAGCTCTTCATTTAATCAGCAGGTTAATGAGCAAATGGGCAAAACAGAGACTGTGCCTGAAAACTTTATACTCGAAATTATTTCCAAATCAATATTAATGCACAATGCAGGCACTTACATGAGATGCTTCTATATGTGATTAAGAGGAAAAAAGACATCTATAATACAGTATAGTTGTAGTCCACTGAGATGCAAGTCAGAAATATTTTTTTTACCCTTTGCAGTAATTTGAAATACTTTATGGAGTTAAGCCACTGTCAAGACTTTCTGTGGAGGTCCAGCTGTGGGTATCCTTAACTCCAGAGCTGAGACACATGGCTATCAGAGAACAGGGCCTTTTCTGTGGTTGGAATATACTTCTCCTACTCTACCAGGTCAGGCTTATTTATCAGGTGTTTACATTGCTTTCTTTAGATGTCAAATATAACCCACTTGTGATTGCTGTTTTCCGTTTATTGTTTAATCAGCCACTGGCATTTTTATTTTACCCTTTTTGTTTTGTATTACAGTGGATCATGTTAGAGCCACTTTGGAAGACTATATTTAGCAGAAAGGAAGGATAAATCTTTTATATATAAAAACCCTCAGCTTTGGTTTGGGCTCTAAATTATGGTTAATGCAAACTATGGTTTGGCATAATATCCAAGTTGAGCTACAATATTCAAGACCACAATGATGTTTGTCATGTATGTGCCAGGAAAGCAAATTACCACATTCAAAATGGGGGAAAAAATTAAACACAATATATATATATTTACCATTTATCCTATATTCCAGTCTAATTCCATTCAAAAGGGGTGTTCCTTCTACAACCTTAAAGGAAAAGAAATGTTCATTATTTTCCACTTAGAATTTTATTAAATTGTTTTCATATGTTGATACAGGAGTAGCACGGCATATTATAGGGAAACAGCCAATGCTGCTCCTCTGTATCTCCGAGAACCACACACAGCTTAAAAATCATGCTGGTCCTCTGTATCTCCGAGAACCACACACAGCCACTTAAGCTGAAAAACAAAAAAAACGTTAACCTTACAATTTAAATGTTTCCCAGTTAGGGAAGCAAAAAAACAACTGTAGGTGTGGTAACTATGGGCCTTTACAAACAAACACAAGCGTCATACTACAAGAGCATTAGAGTCAGTGCAGCACATCCTATTTTCATGTAATAGATATTGATCAACCAGGGGAGGTGAGCATTTCACATAGCCATATTCATTACAACAATGAAGAACACATCTGACAGAAGTATTGCATTTTCCCAGATACAGTGCAATATTGAACACATGAAATTGTCTTATACTGCCCTTGGCCCATCAAAGTCAATACTGTCTACTCAGACGGACAGCAGCTCTCCAGGGTCTCAGGCAGAGGCCTTTCATATCACCTACTACCAGATCTTTTAACTGGAGATACCGGGGACTGAACCGGGGACCTTCTACATGCCAAGGAGATGCTCTACCACTGAGCCACAGCCCCTCCCTTGTTCCCTTCTGCAACAGGACTGCAAGAAGACTTACAGATTTTGTGCAACAAAGAAAACTCAGACCCCCCTCCACTCCAAAAAAGCCCACTGCAAGATTATGGAGCAAGTAAACAAGAACAAAACATTTGCCATCAAAGCAGCGTTGCTATTTTTTCACTGATTTATATAGTCTGATTTTAATATGGACTCCCCCTAGACCACTGAAGATTGCAGGAGTCTAGGCATGAGAAAATATGAAGCAGCCTTTATGGAAATTAGATAATTTGTCCCTCTAGCTCAGTACCATCTACCTTGACTGGCAGCAAGTCTTATTCAGAGAAATAGTTTCTCTAAAACTGGCTACCCAATATTCTTAAACTGCAGGTGTCAAGGATTGAACCTAGGACCTTGTGCCATGCAACGTACATGCTCTATCAACTTGGTGTAGTGGTTAAGTGCGCAGACTCTAATCTGGGAGAACTGGGTTTGATTCCCCACTCCTCCACTTGCAGCTGCTGGATGACCTTGGGCAAGCCATAGTTCTGGCACAGCTGTTCTTGAAAAAAGAGCCGTTTCTGTCAGCGCTCTCTCAGCCCCACCTACCTCACAGGGTGTCTGTTGTGGGGAGGGGAAGGGAAAAGGGCCATTGGTAATTACCGTGAAGGGTCCTTCTCCGCTGAGATAAGGAGGACATCTTGATGGGTGGCTGACCACAGTGTTCTGCTTACCACAGTATCAACAATTTATACTGCAGTCATAACAGTGAACTATAGTTTACTAGCATGGTGAGAGAGCTAGCATGGTGTGATTAGACTGCTATACTAGGATCTGAGAGACCCATATTTGAGTCCTGATTCTGCCATGGAAGCTTGCTGGTTGACCTTGGGCTAGGCACACACACTCAGCCTAACCCACCTCACAAGGTTGTTGTGAGGATAAAATACAGGAAAGGAGAAAGATGTCAGTCACTTTGGGTTCCCACTGCAGAGAAAAGCAGGGTATAAATGAAGTAAATAAATAAAATTACCTTTCCTATGGGCAGTAAATAAAACAGGGCTTGGAGAAAAAACCACAGAAGAAAGACACCAAATACTCTTGTCTCCCATAAGCTATCAAAAGCTGGGAGGGGAGGAGGAAAATTCAGAACACGAGGGTCTTTCTGCTTGCACATTAACAACAAATAAAACACAGTTGCAGGCATGAGAAATATCATGAAGAAGGCACCTGCAAACAAACACAAAGAGTTGTAAGTTAAATTCAAAATAACGGAAGCATACTCCCAGAAAAGTGCTTCTCAAATGTTTTCCTTTCCTACAGGGTCAAAAGTAGAATTACCAGTCATGATTACTTAGCATTTGGTTCAGTCTTCTCTCCAAACAACAACAGCTTATAACCAATGCTCCCCTAAGCTGTGGAGTCTTGTGAGCTACTGGCATGAAAGTTGTGAGCGAGCAACTTAGCCACTGCATAAATTAGTTTGCTCTGGAACCATCCTTCTTGAGCCAAGACAATAACGTGTGAGCTGGAGGCTAAAAAACTGAGCTAGCTCACATTAACTCAGCTTAGAGGGAACACTGCTTATAGCTTATATTTAAAATAAAATAATTTTCACCATTCTGTAAAAGACAGTTTCAGTAGATAGAACTGAAAATTGTATATACAGTTGCAGAAACTGTCCTCCTCCTCCAAGCACTTGGTTAAAGGCCACAGTCCAGCCAAGGCTGCTAAACAGCTGCAGGAAGGGAAACTGGGCCACAAATCAAGTCACTTCCCTGGACACTGATACACAAGTATGTCAGCTGATGCCACAAAAGACTAAAGCCTGGCAAGAAAAGGTGACAAAACTCTTGGGGAAACCACTGCCCATACTGAGCAATTTGCTGAGCATGCTGAATTTTCTATTTTCACAAAGCCTGTAGGTCTTTGGTTGACTTCAACAGACATGGTGCACACCAACAGATGTATCCCTCCACTAAAGTACATGTGGAATGTGTACTTTTAACAGTTCTGTAAGAACACTGCCATGTAGATAGGGTTCTGAAGCACCTAGTAACTGTAAACAACGAATAACTTCCAAGTCTATAATATATTAAAACTATCATACCAATTCTCCCACCAAACTCTAGTTCTTTTGTCTTCATGCATAACCTTCCAACAGTTTTGGAGGTCTCAAAAATTCTCTCTTCTGTATACATCTTTTCCATTTTCTTCTCCTCCTTTCTTGGATGCAAGTGCACAATCTCTGAGTCAATTCTTTCATGCTAAACACAAATAATGGAGAAAAAGCCATTTGTAGTCTTGCAGCACCACCTGCTGAAATATTCCTGAGTTAATGCACTGTCTCCAAATCCCTGAATCCTTTGTTCCCATTTTTGGCAGTCTATATTACCCCTGATTTACATTTTATTACCTACAAGTTCCAGCCTCTTGTTCATGCACAACAAAAAAACTCAAAGGTTTTTAGGATTCCATACCTGTAAAATTTTGAGAGAGGAGTAATTCACTTCAGTGATATCTGGTTCCCCATTATAGCGGTTGGTATTGTTTTCATATAGTTTCTGGATTGAGGAGAAAAGAACTGAGTATTTCCACAGCATACTTTTTTTTAGGTCAAACAATTATTTCCTTCAGTTAATTTAAGCAATCATGTTTCTACAAAAGTAACAGACAATGAAATAATAAATATGCTAGAGCCTTTACTGAAGAGTATCTAAAGAAGTAATTAATTAACGACTGCAGCCAATGAAGCTGCCAGCAAAAGGCATGTGGATTTTTGCCAGGTTCCTCTCCCCCCCAGCAGTCCCTTCCAATCCTCAGAAAGTAAAGTTCCACAGACAGAAATAAGATAATGACGATATTTTCACCCCATTCTCCCTCTTCACTGCAACCTCTCGATTAATGGGGAGGTCTTCATCCCCATGGATCCTGTGGCAGTCAGGCAGTCCACGGCAAGATACAGGGTTTTAATCAGACCCCATGGATCCTGTGGCAGTCAGGCTATTGTCCACGGCAAGATACAGGGTTTTAATCAGCCTTGCAATAGAAAATCTGCACTGGCTCCCCATTTGTTTCCAGGCACAATTCAAAGTGCTGGTTCTTAACTGTAAGGCACTAAATGGCTTGTGACCAGGATACTTAAAAGGACTGTCCAACCTGTCTTCCTCACAAGCCCTGCTCTCTGTGCCCCTGTATAGAAATATTGCTTCTATATTCACATGCCTTCTCCTGTGATGTCTTTTGATAACATGCTGTTTCCTGTTGCAGGTGAGGCCACATGGCCTCAATAGCCATGCCATAAACCCACATTCTTCACACTTCCATGCTAGAAGCTAGACCTCATGGCTACACTCTCTGGCCCACTTGCAACCAGTCTCATACACAATGAAGTAGCTGGAGTTTGGGTCAGATGACTGCAGGCGGGGTCCCAAACTTATAGCCTATCCACATGCAGCTATGGCAACCAACAATTCGGCACACCCATGCCCACTCGCAATTGGCTGATGGTCACATCTAATTTGTGACTGGAATTGGGGTATAATTGTTTGATCCCTATGGGAGTGAGTTCTCTTGTCTTGCTCTTGCTTAGCTCTCCCATCCTCCTCTTGTCATTGTTTGTTGTATTGCACCTGAAATGCTGCCTCTTGAGAGACAAAGAGTTGCTTTGTGAACTGGAGCACAAGGTTCTGCAAAGATGGGATTTCCCTTCAAAATCCCTTGGACTATCCTGGACTGTGGATGTTCTGACTTGGTAACTATGAATCATTAATGTTTAGTTAAGGCAAACAGCCCTAGCCTTTGTTATTTTTGTAATCTCTGGTAGTCTATGCTAGCTCTGTACTGAATAAAGATCCTTCTTATTGCTAGTTTGTCTCTGGTGTTGTAACTGAATTCCAAGGCCAAGTCTTGTGCCTAAATGCTCACCATATACGCTACCATTGGAGAGTAAGAGTGTGCATCTCTAGATTGAGTTGCTAGTGTGTTCTGTCCCAGATGCCAACTAAGGGTTTGGAATCTCTCCCTTAGGAAAGGCAGGGACTATTGAAAAGAGATTCTGGTGGCATATTGTTCTGAAAACCAGAGAGGATATAGACCATCTCGTGGTTTGTTGTTTAATGTACTGAAAAGTACAGGATTCCCTCTCATCCCTGGACTGGGATGAGTGGGCTAATCCCTGTACAGCCCCCACCTTAATAGGTGAGGCACATGGCAACCAGAAACCTCTTTTTAAGTGGTAATAACTCGCCTGTGGAAGACCTGTCCCCTTGAGGCTTGTTTACCCAGGCTTTTAATTAAGAAGGTGATTTCTTTTATAGTCTGTTTTTAGCCTGAGCAACGTTTAGGACTTATTTTAAGCCGCTCAAGATTTTATGCTCTGGCTACGGTTTTAGGACTGGGCTTTAATAACTAATTTTTATAATATTTTATGCTTTTATTATGTTTTATTTTGTAAGTTGCTGTGAGCAGCCCAGAGATGTGGCATAAAATTTTTCCAGATAAATAAACAGAAATGTAAAGTTTCCAGAATTCTTGAAGCCATGGAAGAAAAAAGTTTTTCATAGCAAATATTTTAAATAATATGCAGTACTTATCAAAGCCTGACTATATTTCACTGCTTTATCAGTATAAAAAGTATCATTTATACCTGGGCTAGCACTTAAATTTGTACTATTTGGCATATTTATGAACTGTAAATGTATAAATGCCATGCCTTAACTTTCCACAAAGCTGCGAAATACCCAATACAAAACAGAGCTAAAAACTGCTGCACCCTACACTGTGTTAGCACATGAGGAAGAGTCCAGTAGTACCTTAAAGCTGCATCTGAAGAAGTGAACAGTGACTCACGAAACCTCATACCCTGCCACAATTTTTTTTAGTCTTTAAGGTGCTACTGGACTCTTGCTCTTTTCTACTACTAGTCAGACTAACTGCAGCTATCCATCATGATCTATGTTAGCACATTTACTTTGTTTCTCAAAATGTTCTCAATAATAATGTGCAGAATGATAATACTCTATTGAATAGCCCAGTGTTTTCAGTGTTCTTAGCATTTAACTCAATATCTAAATATGCTGGCAGCCCTGGTATGAGTATATGAGACAGTTTCTGTTCAAATAACACTGTTTTCTTTAGCACAACATTTATATTTTCTAATTTTTATTTTTTTCTTCCCTTGCAGTTGTGAAAAACAAATCAATAAATACTTCAAAAATGCTGTATATGTCTACCATATGCAAAAGAATTATCACATATATGCTGGGCCACAGTGTGTGGACCAAAAATCCACATAATGGGGCCAGGGATTTCTCTGCAAACCAAGGGAAAACCCCAGGTTTGTAGAAAAATATGAAATATGAAATTAAAAAATAAATGGGGGGGGGGCCTTGAAAAACCTCTAGAATCATAGAAGCAGCACCTGCTTCTTTAAGAAAAGCGTGTCACAAATCTTACAAGACTATATAGTGAGAACTTGGTGGGCATTTGGCTTCTAAACAACCTGCTACCAACATTGTCATGAATTTCAAGGTTCAGTTAATGTTAGCAAGGAGGGACAGAGACAGACTTCAAAAGGCAAAAGACAGCAAAGAAGTGAGATAAAACTGGAGAAGCAAAAAAATTGAAAAGTGACAGCTAGAAGTAGAAGAGGGGACGACAAAAGGGTGCATCGATGAGTGGGGGGGGCCTACTGGGGGAAGTCCAGTTAGTAGGTAAGAGGAATCAACTTTTCTTGGGTCTGAAGAGACTGCTGAGGGGCAGTGGAATGTCACAAAAATTCACAATGGCTGTTATCTTCTGCTGACATATCACTGGATCTAACTCAAGACACACGGCAAGAGAAGGGATTAAACTACAAATGCTTCAATAAAAATAAATACCAAAGGAATCAAATCAGGTTCCACAGTTGTATTCTTCTTAGCATTTCTGGGCTCTCTGCTTTGAGACGAAGAACGGCGTTTATGTTTTGCTGGCCGCCCAGGTGAGCGGGATCTAGAGCCAGATCTTGATCGGCTGCCACTGCGTCTTGATGGGGAACCTGAGGAAGAGCTGCTTTTCCTAAACCGAAATGAAGACAACGACTGGAAAAAAAATTAATTAAAGCCTATTACAATATTATAGTTAAAAAAAACCTTTTAGATAATTACTAATTTATGTATCCTTTCTGTTAAAAACCGCAAATTACCTTTTAACTATTTGAATTTTTCATAACCGGGTGTGTGTGATGCAGTGTGCACCTTACCGTGCAGGATCACAGGCAAGGATATACAAAGGAAGGAGAGTTGCTAGCCCTGGGTTGGGGAAATCCTATCATTTTGGGGGTGGAGCATGGGGAGGGATCTCAGCAGGGCATAATGCCATACAGTCCACCCTCCAAAGCAGCCATTTCCCCCAGAGGAACACATCTCAGTTATCTGGAGCTCAGTTGTAATTCCAGATCTCCTGCCCTCACCTGGAGGCTGGCAACCTTTATAGGATGTTATGTTGCCACCCATGACTGGAAATCAGGCTAAAGGACTGATGCAAAAGAAAACCTATCCCTTCTGGTTGTCATACTAAATTAAATTTTAAATATGCTTCCTTCTTGTGTTCTGAATAATTTTGCGCTACTTCCCAGTTTACAGCTAGCATCATCATCAGAAAGTTTTAACTGTCTGAGAATCTAAAAGCAAGACCGCACATAGGATTTGTGTAAGTGAAATATATAATCTTAATTCATGTCACTGGACAATAAACTTCAATTCTGATAGGACAGACGTGATGGTCAGCAATCCCCATGACTATGAAGAGGAAAGGATATCCCAAAGATATGATGTTTCAATAGTTTTAAATGATGGCTTAAGTAGGGTTGCCAGCTGTGGGTTGGGAAATACCTGGATATTTGGGGGGATGGAACCTGAGGAGGGCAGGGTTTGGTGGGGATGGACTTCAGTGGAGCATAATGCCAGAGTCCACCTTCCAAATTAGGGATTTCCTCCAGGTGAACTGATCTGTTGGGTTAGAGCAGAGAAAAGGAAGTACTTCTTCACCCAAAGAGTGATTAACACATGGAATTCACTGCCACAGGTGGTGGCAGCTACAAGCATGGTCGGTTTCAAGAGGGAACTAGATAAACATGGAGCAGAGGTCCATCAGTGGCTATTAGCCACAACGTATAGATAGGAACAGTCTGGGGCAAGTGATGCACTGTATTCTTGGTGCTTGGGGGAGGGGGGCAACAGTGGGAGGGCTTCTAGTGTCCTGGCCCTACTGGTGGACCTCCTGATGGCACCTGGTATTTTTGGCCACTGTGTGACAGAGTGTTGGACTGGATGGGCCACTGGCCGGATCCAGCATTGTCTTTTCTTATGTCCTTATGGCAGTGTTGTTTTCGTTTATTTAATTAATTAATTTGTACCCCACCCTCCCAGCCAAAGCAGGCTCAGGGTGGCTAACAAGGCCATTTGGCTACATAAAACAACATAAAACCATCTAACATAATACAGTTAAAAACAATTAAAACAGATTAAAGTTGGTACACTGAGGCAGCAGAAATGGTGCTGCTTTCTCCTTCCTTTCACAGGTTCCAACTCTGTCAGGGAGGGAAGGCAGACATGCATTGGAGACTGGGAGGAAAGTTTCCATCTTCACCTTTTAGTCCCCAGCACTGCCCCTGCAAAGGAGAGAAGCTGGGCAAGCAGTGGTAGCTGGGAGAAGAGGTGCTGCTGCTGCTGCTGCTTTCTCCTTCTTTCTATTTTCTGACATCAGGAGGGAGAAAAAGTTGGTGGGCAGTAGTGCTGCTTCCCCCACCCCCGCTACCCTGGCCCATGTCAAGGAGATGCACTGCAGTGAGAGGGAGGTGGCAGTTCTCTCACATATGCATAGGACTGCAACTCTGGGGAACTGGATTTGAAAGGGTGTTTTAGGTTTGTTCAGCTTGCTTCTTCTTTTTTTGGTCCTTTAACGCAGAGGTGAAAATATTACAAGATGCTTGTTGCTCCTACTAGTATTTGAATTTAACCTTTTATCTAAGGGTTTTTTGGTTTTCTTTTTGTATGAGCTAATACAGTGTTTGCATTAATAGTGTACTGCAGATTCAATATCTTACTTAATTACTTCCCAAATTCTACTTGGGAGAACACGTTCAATACTACCTCTGCTCTATATACAGAACTAGGAGTAATGCCCGTTGTGGGAAGAAATACAACAAGATCTAGAAGGAAGCTCCAGATGAGTGTCCCGACTGTGGCTGGTGGGGCGGCAAAGGGAAGCGGAAAATGGAGGGAGGCAAGCCATGTTTCTTTCCTTCTGCTTAGCTATAAGGCAGGGCTGTCTCAAGTCATTTTATGTGGCTGCCGCAAGTGGGTAGAATGGGAGGACAGCCTCATGGTAACAGATATGGTTTTCTCCACCTCTGACTTATTTTTTGAGGGGGAGGGGGGTGTTATGCAATGGCAGCTAAAGTAGAAAAGCACCTCCTCCTGTGCCATGTTTTCTGGGTTCCAAGGGTCTGGAAAGTAGTTCCATAGCTGATTACATGGTTGCCAACTCTCGGTTGGGAAATACCTGTAGATTTGAGGGGTAGAGCCTGGGGAGGCAGGATTTGGGGTGGGGAGGGACCTCAGTAGGGTATAATGCCATAGAATCCACTACCCAAAGCAGCCATTGTCTTCAGGAGAACTGATCTTGATCATCTGGACATCAGTTTAAATAGGTGGACATCTCCAGGTGCTGCCTGGAGGTTGGCTTATATTAATTTCTCTCCCAACTATTGCTCAGGCATGAAACTATCTTAAACTGACCCAGGGATTCAATGTACCAGGTATTCAATGTATTATTTCAGCCAGATATAGATGTATTTCTTTGGCTACCTGGAATGGCCAAGCCACAAAAATCCCAAAAGTATTCAGGAATTTTTGGGACCACCAGACAGTCAAATTTAAAGGGCAGTTAAAGAGACTGTAGGCCCTTTAAACAACTTCCAGGTGAACGTGCCCTTAGAAGAATGTGTTTAAAAGGACTGTGAGCTCTCTAAACACCTTCAGAGTTCACTCACGGCTTGAAGAAGGCATTTTAAGGGACCATGATCCCTTTAAACATTTTTCTTTTCCCTCCACTGAAACCAATGGAGAATGGGGGCACCTTCTTTGGGGGCCCAGAGAATTGGACCCCTGCTCCGATATTTTAAAAACATGAGGTGTTTGGTTTTTTTAGGAGAGGCACCAGCAGCTGTGCTGCAAATGTGGTGCCTCTGCCTCAAAAAACAGCCCCCCGGGGGCCCAGATACCCCTGAATCGATTCCCCATTATACCCTATGGGGACCATTGACTATATTGGTCCCCATAAGGTATAATGCAGCTGAAAAAAATTTGAGATTTCCAAAAAACCCTGAATCCAAATAATATACCAATATTGGGATTTGAGAATATCGAAAAATCCCAGTATTTTCAGGTTCAATGTATCCAAACCCCAAAAATACCATTTTTTTTTGCACACCCAGGTACCAGAAATTTATCTTAAAACAGAAATCAGTAGTTTTTTTAACTTTAACTGCAGACTTTAGAATAGTTGTACTATTAATACAGAAATAGGCTGATTCCAATTATCTATAGGCAGAACTTCCCCTCCCTTCCCAAACCAGCTTAAAAAGCACTGCCCTTGAGGTTCAGAGTTTCAAGCACAGTGCTTGACATGATGTGTGGGTATGCTGTGAGTGTAAGGACCGGCAAATATCAGCCCTCATAATCTGCAGGAATTACCTTTTCATTGCAGGACCAAACTCAATGTTTTGAATGCCCATGTCTAAATACACTGAATTATTCATACTGAAAACCAAACTAATGCTAAAGAAGCATGAGCCAGCAAATAAATTCAAAAAGTCAGTTATCATGGCTGTTGCATCAAGGCAACATTAGAAGCCATCACCCTATCCTAGTACTGCAAGAACATAAAACAACGTTTACAACTGAACTACCAACCAAAACCTTCAAGAGTATGCCAAATAAAGTTTCTAATGTAATCAATACTCTTTCGGAACCGCTTACCCTCATGTCATTTTCTTTCAGTTGAAGCTCAGTTCCATCTTTGTATTTTACTGTGTAAAGATGAGTACGGTCATCATAGTTAGCTACTTGTACTTCATAAAAAAGAACACTTCCTGGCCATCGGCCCATCACAATTTCTTCATCGGCGAACTTCCTCGCTGGCATTTTTCACACAATGCTAACAAAAAGAAAGGGGGGAGTTACTAACTTAAATTGTAAAAATCAAATGTAACCAAGTCTAAAAATGTGAAAGTGCTGGGGGGGGGGATAAGTAAAGATAGCACAGCATGGCTCTCATCCTTGAAGTTTTCATTCTTCGATTATTCCAATAAAAATGAAGTTTAAGTAAAATAGAAAAAACCTCTTTAGTATTTTCTCTTCCAGTATGTAATGAAATTTTAATACAAAATGTTAAAATACTGCTTTAACTCTTCTTTACTCCCCTGATATGCTTCCTAATTACTGCGTACTAGTAACGATCTGTTAGCCAACATTACGGTAGGTATGTACAACTCTCAGGTCTGGACTCTTCTATCTTTTACAGCATATTAATAAGCCTGTTTTTTATTTGGAATATATTTGTTGATTTGGAATATTTGTTGATTTGGAATCAACAAACAAGATTAACATGAGAAGCTTTTTTTCAGCCCATGCAAACTTTCAGGCTTATGAAGTATGTGTAAATAAAAATGAAATTTCAGACTCAAAAGCTATTCTTCATTCACCAACTGTTTCCAATTAGTGAGAAAAAAATACTGAGATGGTGTTATTTCAAAGGCTATGTCATTGCACAAAAATGGCTGCAATGGTGAGAACACCTTTGCAGCAATCCTTGGGGCATGCTACGATTATTTGTTTCCTTCAGTTATAGCTTGCCTTTCTTGCTGAGTCTCAAGACAGATTACAAAACATTCTCCATTTTCCAGCCTCCTCAGGGCTCTGAAGCTGCTGAAGCAATCCCACCAGGCATGCTCTCAAAAGCCTAAACAATGGCTGAAAAGAAGGCACTGCCCCACCTCTTCCCAGGCATCCTGGGGTCTCTGAGAATTCTCACCAGGCCCACTATCATAGCCCTGAAGATGGCTGGAAAGGGAAGACTGCTCACAAGCATACCAAGCAGTTCAATTCTTTGTGTTAAGTTATAACTAATGTACTTTATGTTCTTCAAGTAACAAAGTAAATTTAAAGGTGGTTTTAAAAATAAGCACAGCATATCTCTTCCCATTCCATTAAATTTTTTTCCTAGAAAGACTGTTTTTATCCCGTTTCAAAATTTCTGTCAATTTTACTTCTCTAACCAAGTGTCTTGCTGCCTGCAGGCTATATGAAACGGATGTGTAAGTACTGTGTCAGATTATGTAATCACCAATAAGACTTAAAGCATGGCAAGGCAACTCATAGGCCACTGATACAAACATCTGACTTTAATAGTAACCATAGCGCCAGAGCAGCTACACAGGCACTGAAAAAAACAGAATTTTCCCTTCTGTGCAAATGTAACAGTTCAGCTGGCATACACATGGGAATATAAAGAAACTGTAACAGCACAATGAAACAGCCGCTGTGCATACACAGGGCATGCCATAGACTACAAAAGTTTAACTCTTAAAAGCAATAAATAGAGTCCAAGTAATACACTTACAGTGCCATTCTAAAAACATTTTCCTGGGAGTAAGCCCAATGAATAGATGAGTAGGATTCTGAATAGACCTGCTTAGAATTGTTTTCTTACACAGTGAAGCCAACAGTGTTTTAAGCATGCTTAACTGAGTACATTCTACTTTGTTGAACTGATGCCAGAGTCTGCTTTGCACCTGAACGGGGTCAAAAAAGTTGATTGCAATATTGTGCTAAATTCCAAGAACACATGAAATCACAATGCCACGCAGGGGAGAAAAAGCCAGGGATAATATGGTTACCTTCCTGTGTTCCCTACCAAGGCAAAAAGCAGCCGTTTAGTTGGCACATCTGGTTGGTAACACAGCACAGTGGAGAATTAACCCTCCCCAGCACTTCAAGACCAACATGTCAGGAGTTCAATCATTAAACTCCAATATCGCACATGAAACTCCACTATCACACAAAGTTTAATACAATTAGGGGTTGAAGTAACATGTTCAGTATTACAATTAAAACTAATAGGAAGATACTTAATTGGAACTAACAGGACAATAGTTAATATGAAGGCATTGTTAACAAGTGATATTTTGAACTCCCTAATATGAAAAAGGGTTCACCAACATGGTGCCTGCCAGTACTTCCAGTGGCACCAGCCAAGCTTTTCAGAAAATGGGCAGGGCCATTGTAAGGCAGGGCTTCTTACTGCTTGTCTTCATTCAAATGAAAGGGTTTTCTAGACATTCAATTGCAGCCACTGGAGAATCAGAGGACCAACAAGCACTCAGGCTTCTGGTTCCATTCCCCCCGTAAGGCTTTTTTAATTCCCTTTATTCATTTATGTGATTCTTTCACAAAACAAGGAAGGAGGTATTGGGCTTGGCACCACAAATCTGCACCAGGCATTTGGGGTTGACACCACCCACTCTCAAAATTCCAAACGAGCCAGCAGGCTCAAAAAGGTTGGGGACCTCAGCAATAAGAACTTCTTCAAATGATCAACACACATAATTATTTGCAAAGATACTATAAAATACAGTGCCAGATTCAAGACAATAACATATAATCTACAACAGTACGACTCCTCAATTGCTCTGTTTGGTGAGTGACAGCCAGTTTGGTGTAGTGGTTAAGAGTTGGGAGACTGTAATCTTGAGAACCGGGTCTGATTCACCACTCCTCCACATAAAGCCACCTGGGTGACCTTGCGTCAGTCACAGCTCTCTCAGTCCCACTTACCTCACACGGTATCTGTTGTGGGGAGAGGCAGGGAAGGTGATGCTGGTCCAAGACTCCTTTGGGTAGTGAAGGGCAGGATATAAAACCAACTCATCTTGTGGGATTTAAATTAGTATCTAACTTGTCAATTTAAGCTAATATTTATCACAAATTTGCGGCAAAAATTAAAAACAAAATAAAGTCTCCAACACAGTAAAGGCTCGCTATTTTACGGCGACACCATGTTTTTATCAAATACATTAAAATGCTGGTATCTAGGCTGCTACAAGTCTCAAATCTAACTGTTCTACTGCAGATCAACATGACTACCCTCTGACACTATCAAAATGTAAACTCAGATGTTCCTGATAAAATAGGCTCTGAAGAGTTTATGCTCCCATAAATTTGTTAAGTTGTATTCAGACAATCCACAATCTGTGAGGTGAATGAGCTTCAAATCTTCATTCATTATCTCTTCTCCTCTATCCCTTTATGCACTTTGCCAAGATTAGAGACTCCTAGTTTAGGACAGCTTCACTCTTAACTCAGTTTGTAATGTTTCAATTTGGCTGCCTTACCTGACTGGGGTTTATACTGTTCTTAGTGCCTGGCACTTTAAACTGAAGCTTGAATCCTGGTTTAGAACCCTAGTTATCGGTAAAGAAACAAACTCTATCTGTTACAGCATACAAATTTGGACATCACATCAACATGGGGTTAGGCTGAACACATCGTAAATCAGAAATCTTCAATTGTTGTGAGAAAAGGAGGGAGTAAGTTGCAAGTGCCTGAGGCTGTGGTGCTGGATGGCCCTAAGATATGGTAATTTAAAAAAAACACTTAAACATAAGGATGTTAGTTTTATTTTCAGTTGACAAGACAGGCCTCTCCCCCCCCCCCATGTCAAATGTATAGTGCAAAAGCTTGGAATTCAGTGTGATGTGGCCATCTGATTGCTGGAGTAGAGCCCGGGAGACCCAAGCTCAAATCCTTACGCAGCCAGGAAGCGCAAGCCAGGAAGCGCAAGCCAGTTAGTTTCCCTCTGCTTAAACTTCCTCGCAGAGCTGTGGTGAGACGAGCGGCAGGATAAAAATGCGTCTGATGGGTATTTCAAGCCAATGCTGACAAGCTATCGAAAGACGGCATTTTATTTGATTCCCCTGGCAGAGCGACGAGGGTCGGGAAAACACCACTTAAAGGACAGTGCGAAGCTGCGGTCCTATATGTATTTAGCTAGGATAATATTTTACCGAAGACGACTTCTACTTCTTCTAAATATGCAAGGCTCCTCGCTGTAGGCGTATTTACTCGGAAAAAAGGACAGCAGGAGTCGCGGCCTCACGTGCCTCCCAATCAACTCCCTAAATTGGTCGTCGCGCTCCTTCCACCTGCCCCACGAGACGTCAACAAAGAAAGGAGGCTGCTGCGGCCGGCTCCTCCGGAGAGGCAGGATCGCTCCCCTCCCCTCCCCAAAAGAGCGGAGGACCAGTCGCCTTTGCAGGCTCTCCGGCGCCCCCACCCGGCTATCGAGAGGAACGAGCCCGAAGGTTAGTGGAGAGAGTCGGTTTGGCCGCCTCGGAGATGACTCGCAGGCGAAAAGTAGAGACGAGCAGAAGGGCCTCTCAAAATGGGGGCTGGCAAACGACCGAAGGAGGAGCGACCGCGGCAAGCCTGCCAGGGCCTCACGCGGCGGAGAAGGCGGCGTCCGCCCAGTGGTCCTCCCTCCCGGGAAAAGCGCCGAAGGGGTGTGTGCCCCAGCCTGCTAACAACGCGCCCTCACCTTGCTGTGGCCGCTGCCAGCCCCGCGTGGCCGGGCACCAACCGTCTCCGCTATGCAATTAGAAGTTCGTCTGGGCAGGCGGGCGAACTAGATAGCTCGATAACAACGGAAGCCAACCGCTTCAAGCGACGGTTACGGGCCGGAGGACGAGCGCCGTTTCAAGCCACGCCCCCAGTGTCCCGGGGAGGCGCGAAAGGCAAGGCGCCAAGCGCCACCATTGGACAATCCGCCGCGTTTGAATCGTTCCCGGCGCCAGTTTATTGGCTGCGAGTTGGTCGCGCGTTTCTCCTTTTCGCAGCCTAGTATCAGCCTCCCAGAGTTCCGCTCCAAGTTCTGCCTTCCTTTTTAGCCGACGATATGAAATGACATGAAATCATAGACCTTCTCTGTGCCAAACTTTTCTTTCTCTGTGGCTTAATACTGACAGCTTCGCGCGCTGCGGAGCTAAGTAAATGGAAGCAGAGTTTAGCTTGCTTCTTTGTAGAGTAGCGTAACTTAATTTAAATAATTGCGAAGCGGAAACAGACTGTTCTTCGGAATTAATACCAGTGAGGCAATGTGTAAATATGCTGCAGGAAAAAAAAGTACCTCAAAGACTAACAGTAAATCTTTAAGGAGTCTCTTTTTCTCTTCAGAATTAAGATTCTGTCTCACAAGAATACAGGAACTCAATAAGGAAGAATTGATCTCTGTAATCTGGAGATGCGCTGTAATTCCGGGGGATCCCCGGGTCCTGGAGGCTGGCATCCCTAACTCGGAAGCCACGAAGGAAGTCCAGGTTGCTACGAAGAGGCAGACAATGGCAAATGAAATGTCTCTTGCCTAGAAAACCTCTAAATGTCTCTTGCCTTAAATTGGCGGTGACTTGACAGCAAAAAAACAGCAAAACAGTATGGATATGTGGATATACAGCAATTCCCTCACTCCTTGTCAGCATATGTGCACAAAACAAATAGTTAATAGTGACTTCCTGAGCTAGAGCTGGGATTTTTAAAGGTGCCTCCCTCACACACCAAAACTTGAACAGTGGTTATAAATGAATGTCACTGTAAGCATATGCCATGGTATTTCTTCTTAGAAAAAATACTGTCTACATAGATATGGGGAATAACTTCCACAGAAGAGGACTTCCAGTGCCTCTCAGTTAAAAATTGAATACATTCTTGAAGTGTATGCATTTTTTAGAAGAACGCATACCCATTTGCTAAAGCAGTCAGCAAAAAAAAACCCCTTTAAATTTTCATCTTCAGCACGTGCATGTAATAATTTCCCTGTACAGTGTAACTTTGTTATAATGTTATATCTATGTTCTATATTATGGCTTGTTGAAAATCTGCCTTCTTGTGCATTATGCTCAGGTTACTAGCTATACTTTTGGTACTTTTGCTATTAATTGGTTAAGAGACATGTCCCATAAGTAAATGTATATATTTCAATAAGGGGGTGGAGAGAAAAATAGTTGCCAGGGTTTTTTGTTTTTGTTTTAGATTGTTGAAGAGTCTGAATGTTTTCTTAAGACTCAACATTTTCAAACATCTGAACTGGCATTTTTAAGAAAATTATTACACTGACAACCATAAAACATTTAGCCTTCAATTTTTGCATTTCCCAGTCTACATTTTTTAAAAAGATTGTGTCAACATTCTTTACAAATAAAGATAAGTGGTTTTCTCCACCTTTTAATTCTTTATTAGTGTTTTTGACACAATTTAAAAGCACTTTCTGGTAACCGAATATAAACTACTGATTTTAGAAAACTTGAAGCTGTATCCAGACAAGACGACTTGTTCCATTTTAGCGACTGGCTGCAGTATCTAAGCCCCTATATTCTGGACAGTGATATGACTAACTTTGTAGCCAGGGGATACCCTTCCCACAAGTGGGAAATATGTTCTGATCAGGGATTTTTTTAAAATTGAAGCCTAAGAGACCAAACAAACAACTGAATGAATTGTCTCAAGTTGCATATATGCATATAGTAAAACACTCTCTAATTCCTTCTGCTAGAGAGCCTGCCAGTCTAGTATAACATTAGTTGGACTAGCAGGCAATTCTCAAGGCATATTGGACAGGATGAAAGAATGTATCTATTATAAAGTGCAGGAAACAGTTTGTTTTTTTAAAAAAGTCTTGAAGGTGTTTGCTGCAGATAGGGAGCAGAAGGCAAAATGGGAGAAATCAGCAAAAGAGAATGAAGAGGATGTATAAATTTCATAAGCATCCTATTGGTCCATGTGTCACTAATGTGACCTTGCTAACAGTCATACATATTGTAGGCAACTATTGAATTTTCCAAAACTTGGCAATTTTACTACTAGTGACTTCTGCGCAATAGGAATGCTCTCTAGATGACATCATCTAGGTAATAATAATTTAATAATTATTATTATTGTATGGCAGTGTGTGTAGTATAGCCAGGAGATCCTAAGATTGTCTGGCAGCCAGAAGTTCTAGATTTTTAAGTGTTTTGCACCACTAGGTGGCGAGCTAGACTTGTTTTTAAGGCAAGAGATGTTTCAGAGGTGGTTTGCTATTGCCTGCCTCTGCATCATGCCCCTGGTATTCCTGGTATTCCCCCATTCAAATACTAGCCAGGGCCGACCCTGCTTAGCTTCTGAGAACTGACAAGATCAGGCTAGCCTGAGCTAGCCAAGTAATCTGGGTGACTGTCAATCACTGATCTGCAGTCTTCCTGTTATAGCTATATCTGAAAGAGCCCAACACGCTGATGAGGACTGTAAAGATGCTGTGGGGAAAGCAGTAGTAGGGATTTGATTTCAGTTCACTGAACTCTTATTACTGTACCATTGGTTTTATTTCACTGCTCAGCAATTTTTTTAAAGTACATTTAATCTTTTACTGCTGGTGACTGCAATTTTAGTAATCCTTTAGGTTGCTGTTAGCTCTTCTTCTTAATTACTGTTGTAATGTACATACATACATACATTCTGGTATGTAGTTTTATTTCATGGTATTATAAACCGCCTTGTGATTTATAATAGACAGCTAGGGCAGAAATTGTCTAAATAAATAAATAAATAAATAAAATTACCAACATGAACCTCTGAGTCCAGGTTTGACAAAGTTGGCTTTATGCAGTTTGAAATCTGGGTGACTGTCAGTCACTGATCTGCAGTCTTCCTATTATAGCTATATCTGAAAGAGCCCAACACACTGATGAGGACTGGAAAGATGCTGTGGGGGAAGCAGTAGTAGGGATTTAACTTTGATTTCAGTTCACTTAACTCTTATTACTGTACCATTGGTTTTATTTCACTGCTCATCAATTTTTTAAAAGCAGATTTAATCTTTTACTGCTGGTGACTGCAATTTTAGTAATCCTTTAGGTTGCTGTTGGCTCTTCTTCTTAATTACTGTTGTAATGTACATACATACATACATTCTGGTATGTAGTTTTATTTCATGGTATTATAAACCGCCTTGTGATTTATAATAGACAGCTAGGGCAGAAATTGTCTAAATAAATAAATAAAATTACCAACATGAACCTCTGAGTCCAGGTTTGACAAAGTTGGCTTTATGCAGTTTGATAGCACATTAAGATAGTTCTTCATCCCCAGCTCTGGGTTATGGTTTTCACCTGGGTAGATTCCACCTTGCAACCTTTTTACATTGCTAATAACGCATTCTGTTTTGGCAATATGGACACCAGGAAATCCATCAGTGGGTACCATGTTGAGGAGGACTACTGGACTACAGCCACTTATTTGTGTAAACATTGTAAGCAACTATGTTGCCATTGAGTCAGCTCTTCAATTGGCCTATTCTCACTGGCAACCTAGAAAGTGAAGGTTCCCCACCTCTTTTTAATCTCATGTACCATGTGGTTCTATATAATTAATATGCCAGTCTGCCAATTCACAACACCATTATTGCAACAATTTAATATGAATCCTCTTTTCAGAATATTACTGGTTTTATTAATATAAATAAATCATTTGTGTTTCCCATATTTTCTATACACATAGAAAAATGGTAGCTTGGATGTTCTCAGTGTCTAGGACACTGCATAAGGTATGAAGCAAGAGGCAAAGACAGGCCCCTATGTCTTGACCTTCTCTGCCCATGTCTTGGAGTATCTCTGTGCCCTTACCCCTTCAATGTGGGCCATGGAGGCCTTATTGGTGGTCGTTCAGACCTTGGGCATTGAGCCCCCCCCCCCGGGGTGAGTGGTTGTGGGTGAGGAGTCACAGCAAGCAGACTCCCTCCCCTTGGAGGAAGCTGCCAGTGTCACAGTATGCAGCCCCAGATGGGGCTGAGGATTCAGAGCTGCTGCCAGGCTCACAGGCATGGGGCCCACACCCAGCACAGTGCATTCCCCCCCCCCACTCTAGTTCATGTGGATGGTCATCAAGAGGGAGCAGCTGCAGAAGCAGCAAATGGAGGGATACTGTGTCCCAGGATCAACAGAGCTTGGAGGGCCTTGCAGTGGCTCAGGGGCAGCTACTAGGCACCTTGAGTGGCTTGTGGCTGTGGAACGATATTTGGGACAGGTGGCAGGCATGCATCAAGAGAATGCTGATGGACCTATTGGCAATGATCCATGGCCTTGTACCAGCCACTGCCCCTGCACACACACTCTGCCACTCCACTGGCTGCAGCAGAGGGAATTGCCTGGGAACCATGGCTGTGGTGCTGAGAAGTGCCTCCTCCAGTGAAAGCCAGGTACCTGTGCCTGGCCCCATGTTCCTTTTGCTCTTCCCATGCCTTTTTCCTGGGGTTCACCTCACATTGCTTCACATGGGGTTTACTTCTAGGTAGACATGCTTAGGATTTTTGGCCATATGCAGTTTGATGGGGGGCCCTTTCCCATTTCTTGGCTGCTACCTCCATTCCATGTGGCAGGGGCACTGATGTGGGTGAGACCTTTGCAGGGTTAGGCAAATGAGCACCATTCCTTCAAGACAGCATGGTAATGTACTTCGACAGCATTCTTTTCAAAAAGATTGGAGTAGGGCCAGTTTGGGACAGATTGTCCCAACACCATCTGGGGATTGCTTTTAAGAATGTAATAATGTATTTATTATATTTTTTATAATGTTTATGATATATTTTATTTTGTTGTTCATTACCCAGAGCCCTGTGTATTCAGGGCTTGAGCGAT